CTTCCTACCCTGCCCACTCTAAAAGTACCTGACCCCTCCGCGTCAGCAATCATGCAGCAGCAGTATAAGACCGATCGCGTAGCTAGCACTCAGTGGTTAGCACGCGACGTGACTTCCGTGCTTGCAGTCCGCAGCCACCTCCCACCCGACCAGCGAACCCACTTTTGCCAGCTGGAAATTGCCAAAGCGCTCTATGATGCTGTAGTGAAGTGCTATTCCTCCCCTCCTCTGCCGCCCTAGGCCGCCTGTTGCTGCCGTACCTCTGTCACTGACCTCATGACTCACCCAGTCATTCACGCTTCCAGCTTCTCCACAGCAGACTGGGATTGCTGAGCGCCGCATTGGCTTGATCATGGAGGTTGCTTGCACATCCATGTCCATGCGGCCTCTCCTCAATCTCTGTGGTCGTTTGCGGTCTGCTACGCCCCGCATCAGCTCAACCTCTGGCCCCGTTTCTCCAAGTCAGAGACCTCACCTACACTGCGTTGGTCGGTGGAGGTTGGCGACGCGTCGGCATTTCGGGTCTGGGGTTTGGTGGCCCTTATTTGCTATACTGCCTTCGACAAGCTCTCTTCTCGCACAGTTCGCTGCATCTTCCTTGGCTTTCCCACCGATGCGCCTGGCTAGCAGTTTTACCACCCAGCCACGCGTCGTGTGCTGTCCCACTGTCACTCATGCTGCTAGTACCACTGTCACTCGTTGTCTAGCCATACTTCTTACTGACCCTACTTTTGAGTCTCTTGCTGCGTCTGCCTTAGTCACTGAGCTCGTTGACTTAGTGGCTGCCTGTCGTCTCGAACACTTTGTGAGTCTTATTACTGAGTATGAGTCTGAGTGCCCTCCGTCCGTTGGGGCTGAGCTTGCCCTTGGCAGTGACATCCTTCAGGACAGACAGTTTGAGCTCGAGTGCCTTGTGGCTGTTGTACCTCATCTCCCTGCCATGATGCTTGCCCCTGAGGTAGACCCAGATGCAATGGATATCCCGACCCCCCGCTCTTACGTAGAGGTGATCATGGGTCAGTACACCTCTCAATGGCAGACAGCCATGGACGCAGAGATGACATCCTGGAAGTCCACAGGCACTTACGTCGATAAGGTTCCCCCTCCTGGGGCGAACATAGTCGATGGCATGTGGATTTTCAGGGTGAAGCGGCGTTTCTCCGCCTTCAAGGTGAAGCTTCGAGGCGCGTTACGTTGCACGAAGCTTCAGTCAGCGACAAGGGGTCGACTTCTTCCCGACCTTCTCCCCCACCCCCAAGATGACCACTCTTTGGGTGTTACTGCACGTTGCAGCACAACGTGACTACGAGCTCCACTCGCCTGACTTTAGCACAGCTTTCTTGCAGGGCAGCCTTCACGAGGAGATCTGGCTGCGCCGCCCATTTGACTTCACTGGGTCGTTTGCTGAGGGTACCCAGTGGAGCCTCCGGCGGCTAGTCTATAGTCTCCACCAGGCGCCACACGAGTGGCATGATAGACTAAGGACGACACTTGCGGCTCTTGGGTTTGCTCCGTCCCTTCGACTACTAACTCGTCGCTGTTTCATCGCAACTACCTCCTCGTGTACATTGACGACTTGGTCTTTGCTACTGCTGACATTGAGGCACTGGCCCTTGTGAAGTCGGAGCTACAGAAGAAACAAACTTGCACTGACCTGGGTGTGCTGCGCAACTATCTTGGCCTGCAGACCACCCGAGACAGAGCAAGGCGCACCATCAGTCTAACTCAATCACGCATGGTGCAACAGATTGTGACGCGCTTTCGCTTTTGGTTCTCCTCGCCACTTGCCACTCCTCTATCTACAGGCCACTCACTCTCAGCTCCACATTTGGACGAGTCCGTAGAGCCGAGAGCTTGTGGGCTGCCTCACGTACCTGATGACCTGCACTCAACCTGACCTTGCATACCCTCTTAGCATCCTGGCGCGCTTCGTTGCGCCCGGGAAGCACCGCCTGAGCATTGGCGGGCTGCACAGAGGGTACCGCGTTACTTGTGCAGTACATCAGGCATGGGGCTTGTGCTTGGAGGATGGGGTTGAGTTGTGCTCACTGGGCACTCTGACGCTTTTTGGGCAAACGACCATAAGAGTCAGCGGTCGTCACAGGGTTACACTTTTAGTCTCGGTTCTGGTTCTGTCTCATGGAGGTTTACCCGTTGGTCTTCTGTCCTCAGCTCTAGTTGTGAGGCTGAGATCTACGCGGGGGCCATGGCTTGAGAGGAGTTACACTGGCTGACCTACTAGCTGACGAACCTGGGTGAGCAGCCTTGTTCTCCTCAGATTCTGTACATCGATAACAAGGTCATGATTGCCTTCTGTCGAGAGCAGAGATTGGAGCACAGAACGAAGCACATTGCTCTTCGTTACTTCCTCCCACGAAAGTTACAGTAGTGTGGTCAACTTCATCTTGCTTACGTGGCCTCATAGGCCAACACTACTGATATCTTCACCAAGGCCCTCGGGTCTTGTGATCATCGGCGTTTCTGCACTGCTCTTGGGCTTGTGGCCACTATTCCTCATATACTTGTCTGTTAAGTTGTGATCGGTGTGCTACTTTTGCTATTATATAACCCTGCATGCAAACTGGCCCTGTAGCCACTTGCTTGTGCTCAGACTATGTGGTGATCTTGAGATCCACCCTGAGCTTTGTATTGTTTTTTCTCTTGACTTGTCTTGTGTCCATTTATTGCTCTGGCTATCCACCACTTCGCCTATAGGGGTGTGTCAAAACACATTTATTTAGGTTGTAGTGGGGTTAGCCTTTAGGGGGTGGAAACACTTTCTCAACACTTTGCTTGTACCCACCTTCCCTTAACCTAATCACACTTCTAGTCTACTATTTGACACCGAGGTGGTAGCGAGTGCCAACACGTGAGCAAAGCAGACAGCACCAGGTGCGACATCTGAATACACTCTATCTGGGGCAGTATCACGCAGATAGAATTGTTGCCCGTGAAGGTAACAGTTCAGGTAAGAAATTGAAACGAACCAAATAATGATTTCTTAGTGGATAGCACAACGATTGGCGAATCGGTGGGAGATGATATCTCGCCACATGTATCGTACCACACGTTTTGGTGATGAAATCGAATTTTCCTCCGCAACACAATGCATAAAAGCAATTTGTAATTGATTCGAATATTTAAAAAATCTGTTGCCGAGGCACTGGCAGATTCTGGCACAACGCACTGCCAATTGATGGTTTGCCCATATCAGATTCTGTAACCCAACTGTTCTCCGATGGGTCAGCGTGTCAGACTGCTGCAGAATATGCGTTGCTGTTGTTGTCAAGAAAAGAGCTTAGGCTAGTAGCAGAGAAGTGTGAGTGGTGTGAGTGGTGTGAGAGAAGAAGAGGGGTTTCATTAACAAGAAACGTACAAACTATAGGAAAGGTGGCAAAGGGGGGTACACCAGGCCCCACGATATCAGGGCAAAACATCCTGATTACCCTGAATTCAGGATGCATATTTGAATTTTCCCTGCAATTTCAGAATAGTGACACTTTTAACCCTGAGCTCTCAGGATATTATTATATGAAATGCCCTGGAAAATCAGGATGGCTGTGGTGTTCTTCCCTGCAGCGTCAGGATGAACGTCGAGGTTCGCCCTGACGCGTTTTTTTTGGGGGGGAAGAGGAGGGGGGGTGGGGGGGTTTACCGTTTCCCGGGAATTTGTTCCCTTGATTTCCCCCGCGGATTGCTTTCCCCGTGTATTTTCCCGCTTTCGCGACCCCCTTGCACTTCCGACCCTGCGCAATGCACCAGCCAAACGTGAACACTCTCAACTCGTCGTGTGCCATACTGCTATGCTCTGCTCGGCTCTGTTCAGCAGAATCTGGTCTGGTCTGTGCTGAAATCTGAACCCTGAATACAGGTTTTTTTGCCCTGACAGGTCAGGATTAATGTCTGTAAAAGCCCTGAACATACAGGAAGACCCCGAAAAAATGCCCTGACAAATCAGGGCATTTTCAAAGATTCTAGAAAAGTGCCCTGAGGGCTCAGGGTGCCCCAAATCCTAGCACGGGCCCTGGGGTACACCACCAATAGAACCAAAATGACACTACACTAACTGTCTAGCATGCAGTTTTGTGCAGATATTATTATTACAGTTGCCTTAAGATCCATTACCAGGGTGACAGGACAAGAAGATTGAATTGGTTGAAGAAAGATTGACATTGACTTTAGTGAGAAGGATTGATATTGACGTTAGAACAATTTCTCAACTTCGAACCAGCTTGTACGGTAAAGTTTCTGGGCGCCAGATGTTCCGCGTTTTTTTCCCAAGCCCGTGAAAAGGCGATCAGACAGGAACTGATGGGTGCCGAGAAAAAGAAATCCGGGAGCCGGTGGGAATCTGTTCAGCTTCACCCACTGGTGTGGCCCTGGCGAGCCGTAGGGCCAAGTATGTTAGCGATAGGTATTTTGGCATCGCAATGACCAGATTGTTGTTCTTGGCACATTTACCCCACCACCACCCAACTTTCCTCGCGGTTTTTGGAAGTGGCCGATGTGATGTTTTTGGCAGCACGTACCCAGTCACAGAAAACTGGCGCAACATGTCCCACAGCGAAACTCTCTCAAATTGAGGCCGTATTTCTCGGCACACGAGAGATTCGGAAGACGAAGGTGTTTGCTGGTCGCTGGTCGAAATCTTACAATTCCACTTTCGAATTATCGAAATTTGAATGTTCCCGGCGCTAGAATACGCCCTCGAGACCCCGATTTTGGGGAGTTTGGGAGCAACACGAGCCTGTTGGGGGTGTGCATGCAAGTCGTGTGCGTCCTTCCAAACCGAAGCGCGCAACTGCGAGCCGCATACAACGCAGATTTTGGTTGTGGCCATTCCAACCTGCTCCAAACTCAAGCCTCCCCCGACATTGTGGAATCTCACCCACCTACATAGACTTTCATGCCAGTCACATTCATCGTCAATCAAACAGCCTTCGGCTTGTGAATCCTCTTTCTAAAACCATTAGGTATCAAGCTCCATCAGGCATCAAGCTATGGCTAGGCTCTACATTCCATTCTTGGCTTTGGTACTCGTTTCTGCTCTGGTCGTGCCAAATTTCTCAGGAGCGGATGCCCAGTCGTACATGGCGATCAAGGCGGCAGCGGCCCGGAAAGCTTTTCTCGATGCTGAAGCTGTGACGAATGCAACTCTCGCGGATTACAACAACAAGCTCAAGGCGGAGGCTGCGATTCAGAAGATCATCGACGATGCGAACGCTGCGATGACTAACGCCCAGATGAATCTCACGTCAAAGAAGCAGCAGCTGGACGACGCGAAGGTCAAGGTGGAGCCAGCACGTCAGGAGATGATGAAGCAACGAGCAGCGAGGAAGGCGGAGCAGGACTACCATGACGAGCTTCAGCAGCAAGCGGTGGAGTCGGACATCGACGCGGCAGAGCTGGAAAAGGACCTCGTCCCCGCGCAGCAGCAACTGGACCTCGCCAATCAGCTGCTCGCGGACCAGATCCTCATCGCCCAGGAGGCCACCGCCGATTCCACCTACTACGCGCGACGCGCCGCGAAGCTCAAGACACCGGCAGCGCAGGCAGAGGCCGCCGAAGCGCAGTTAGCCCGCGCTCAGGCAAATCGTATTAAAGGGGCACTTACGAGGCAGGTGGCGCTCGCGAAGGATGCCTTGGAGTCGATGCAGGCCGATTTCGCCTTCGCGATGAAGGACAAGGTCGACACGAAGAAGGCAGTGCAAGATCACCTGCCCGACCTGAACAAGGCGAAGAAGGACGCGGCAGATGCGGAAGCGACGTACACCAAATACTTCAACGACACCAAGACGCTGCCCGCTGTTATAAACTCGCTCACGGCCGACGTTAAGGTGAAGACGTTAAACGCGGCTAAGGTCACGAAGGATAACAAGGTGGCCCTCGGGCAGGCCGCTTCTGCTCGCGCTCAGGCCGAGATTATCTACAAAAATACCAAGGCGAGATCCGATTCGCTCAAGGCTGTTGCGGACCAGGCGGACGGGGACTCGGCAGCTTACGACAAGGCCCACTCCGTCAACTGGAATACCGGTAACAGCAACGGCAACGGCAACGGCAACGGCAACAGCGGGAGCACCAGCACCAGCACCAGCGGGAGCACCAGCACCAGCGGCAGCACCAGCACCAGCACCAGCGGCAGCACCAGCACCAGCGGCAGCACCAGCACCAGCACCAGCGGCAGCACCAGCACCAGCACCAGCGGCAGCACCAGCACCAGCGGCAGCACCAGCACCAGCACCAGCGGCAGCACCAGCACCAGCGGCAGCACCAGCACCAGCGGCAGCACCAGCACCAGCAGCAGCACCAGCACCAGCAGCACCAGCACCAGCAGCAGCACCAGCACCAAGGGCAACACCAAGTAAAAGTGATGTCGTGCACACGTCACGACAGTTAAGATTCGAGAGTGTTCCCAAAACCGTCAGTGTCGAAATAGCGAATGCCTTAGGGCTAGTGCGCCCTCCTAGAAGCTCTGCCCTTGTTGGTCTGCTAGGGCTGCGTATTCTAGAAAATAAAAGGCATTTGTAACGCTTTCATTATTCTGTTTTATTCTATTAATATTATTGATCAGCGCAAAAGTGGACATCACGCTGCTGCTGGAGTTATAAATTGGCGGGTTAACTTTGTCGGAGTAAAAGGCCCCGCCCTCGCTTGGGCGTAGGCATTCTCTGCGACGACGTGGTGAATTCGACGAAGTGATCGTCGCATTGGATCAGCCCGTTCTCTGAAACCGCGGGTGGTTTTCGAGGAAGGTTGTCCTCTGATTCACCAGCCCGTCAACGAGCTCTGGTCGACGGGGTGCTGTTCGACGAGCTCGTCTTCTGATCTGCTTCTGGGTCGCGCGATCTCTGACGGACGGGGTGCTGTCCGAGGAGCCGCGTTCTCTGATCGAAGGGCGCTGTTCGGCGAGCGTCAGCTCGGCGAACTGGTCGGCCAAATTCGCGCGACTGCGAAACTCTGCGAGGGCATGCGAAATTCGCTCAGGTGGTTCTTAGCGAAATTCGATTTCCGAAATGGCATCACGTGCTCGACGGCGGACATCTGACGAAACCGTCGGAGCGTTTTCTACCTGGCACCTGCGCAATGTCTCTGACGGTGCAACCGTCTACCTGCACCTACTCGGCAGGTGCACACCTGCGCAGATATTCACCTGCGAATGCAGCGCTGGCAGGCCGCCCTGCTGCAGCGCTGGCATGTCGCCCTTCTGCTACGCTGGCAGACCGCTCTGTTTCAGCGTTGGCGAACCGCTCTGATGCAGTGCTGGCAATTCGCCTTGCAGAATGGTTGCTAGGGGTTGCAATGCCATTCCAGAGATATCACTTTGCATGCTCATTCTTGTACTCTAATTCTCAATTTTCAATGTACTTTCAATTTCCTTAGTGGAAACTCTTGCCAAATCTCTCTGTGAACAGAGCAAGTAGTAAGATCTCTGTTAGAACGCTGCTAGAGCGCTACGATCACCCACACAACTCCGTGCCCTCCTTCGTAGTTTACACCCATTGTAGGGTGACTCTCCGCATGGTGCGGTGAGCGTGGAACGGCCCCGCGTTAGAACCTTCAGAGTAGCCGACTTTAGTGCTCAATACCTAAGTTGTAGTAGGCCGGCAGTCTAAACCGCCATGGTCGACCAGGAGGAGGTCGCTGCAGTCGTAGAGGATACCCTGCAGGCGCGGTTAGATGACGTTCGGGCACGCCACGCAGCTGGCGAGTACGGCGGAGCAACCTTGGAGGTTATGCTCTTTGGAACCCGCGTGCAGTGGGCGCGCGAGCACCCAACGACCCGTACTGAGGCGGATGGACTGCCCGCCACTCCCCGACCGGCACGCAACGAAGGCGGCGTCGACGACCAGGTCGACGGTGGTAACCAAGTCGGCAGCGAAGGCAGCACGAGGCTTCGTGGAGTGATTCGGGCCGCTGGCTTTGGCGTCGGCGGAATGCAGGCACGAGTTCTGCGCTCGGCGGCAGCGGGAAGTTCGAACGGCAACATCGATGGTCGACGCCTTTCTCCTCAGCGGAGTGGAGCCAGGCCGACATCGGCGACTCATGCGTCTGCTGGTCGCGACGGAGGCATCGCGCCAGCGTACGGCTACTTCAAATTTTCGCCGGACAAGATCGCTGTGCCGCAGCCGCTCGAAGGACGACATGACTTGATCACATGGATTGAGTCAATCGAACCTCAGCTGGAGATCGCCGGATTGAAGAAGTTCGTTGACGGCAAGGTGGAGATGCCGGACGAAGACGACTCTGAAATGCTGGCGGAATTTCGCGCTGCTCACCTTCTGACCTTCATGGTCATTTCGAGGTGTTGTTCGCCGCTGGTGCAAGTCGCGCTGAAGCAGTGCCGACTTCAAGTGGACGCCGGCTACCAAGCTTGGCAGTACATCATGCGCACCTACAGAGCGACCGACGACCTCTACATCAGCCAACTGGAGAAGAAATTGGCCACAATTCGCATGGGTGAGCAGGAATCGGCGACCGAGTACTGCAATCGAGCGCGGCGAATTTTGGCCGACATGCGGATGGCTGGTTTCGAGTACTCGGTGGCGTCGTATGTCACGCATGTCATCAACGGCCTCCCCTCGAGCTACAATTTGATGCGACGGATGCTGATAATGCCCGGCACGCGCGAAACTCTGAACGAGGATTCGCTTTCGAGTCACATCATCCAGGACGAGTTTATGCAGGAGTCTGAGCGGTCTTCAGAGCTCCTTCCGCAGGCTAACTACGTTGCTCCGACGAAGCAGGGACGTCAGACGGGGCAGCGTGGGAAGTCGGGCGGAGGTGGAGGCGGTGGCGGAAAGTCGTCGAACACCAAGTCTACGGAGAGCGCCGACCGCGGAAAGTCAGCGAAGGGCAATGATCGCGGAAGCAGTGGTTCGCGTCGAGGAGGACGCCGCTGCTACATTTGTGGAGACCGCGACCACCTCTCCTACGACTGCCCTGATCGCGACGAGTCCGACGACAATCAGAGAGGGAGCCGCGGAAAGTCTGACAACGCCAGTCGTTCAGAGGACGGGAAGTCTGACAGCGACAGTCGTCGTCGAGACAACCAGCCGCGCAAGGAGAAGCCTGCGTCCTCGAAAACGGCGTCGAAATCAGAGGGTGATGCTTCGAGCGAAAAGAAAGCCTCTTGTTCGATGGTTGGCGTGGTCGAGCCAACAATTTCGCTGGCACCGGAGGCTGGCGAAGACTTCCAGGCGGTCGCAGCAGCCGTCCAGGCGAATCCGACTGTAGTTCTCCTCGACAGTGGCTGCTCCCATCATCTGATGGGAACGCGGGAGGCCTTCGTCGAAATGAAGCCAAGAGGAGAAATCCGTCACGTGCGCGGATTCAACGGGGCGCTTCAGAACGTCGAAGGCCGTGGCACAGTTGCTCTGAAAGGGGAGACTGGGAAGCAGGTTCTCATCCCCGACGTGTTGTACGTTCCGGGCGTACACGCGAACCTACTGTCTTCTGGCCAGCTGGAGGAAAACGGCGTGAAGCTGAAGCACGAGGGTGACGAGATGCTGCTCGTTTCTGCTGCAGGAGATGTGCTCGGTCGAGCACGCTACACCGGCCGAGTTCTCTGCACCGACCTTCGCCCCTGCTCCTCGAAATCGACTACATCTGCGACAGAAGCAGTTGCTCTGCGGACGATCGCCTCGGCGACGAAGTCCAAGCCGGCTAAGTGGCACGCGAGGCTCGCGCACGTCGGCATTGACACGCTGCGAATTTTCCTCAGCATTGTGGCCGTCCTCGACCTGCACCTCATGCAGTTAGACATGAAGAATGCGTTTCTGCAGAGCAAGCTTGACCGCGTGCTCTACATGGACCAGCCGGCTTACTACAACGACGGAACTGGCCGCGTATGCAAGCTGCTGAAGAGTTTGTACGGGCTGAAGCAGAGTCCTTTGTTGTGGTACTCGGCGCTCGACGCTGTTCTGACGGGCGCTGGCTGGAGCAAGAGCCAGGTTGACGAGGCTCTCTATTTCAGAGTTGGCGACGACGGAGTGGCGTGCTGGGTGCTCGTCTACGTCGATGACCTGCTCGCCGCCAGCAGCAGCACCGCGATGCTGAAGGAGCTGAAGGAGCTGCTAGAAGCTGCATTTGAGCTGCGCGAGATCACCCCGGTCGAGAAGTATTTGGGGCTCGAAATCGTGCGCGACCGTCCGGCGCGGAAGCTGTGGCTGCACCAGCAGTCCTACGTCGACAAGCTGCGTAGGCGCTTCATCGACGAGGAGCAGACTGGTCGGCGTCCGAAGACGCCTGTTTCCGTCGACGCTTACGCGGAGCTGACTTTCGACGATGAGGACTTCCAGTCGCGCGAAGAGGAGGAGTACCGTCAGAAGGTCGGTTCTCTGCAGTTCGCTGCCACGACAACTCGACCCGACATTGCTTTCGCGTGTAGCAAGTTGGGGTCTGGTCTGACGGTGAGGAGCGATCAGCACTGGCGCGAGGTCGATCGCTGCCTCAACTACCTCTCTGACACGCGCGATTTTGCTCTGGAGTTCGGAGGAGGACCCGAAACTCTGAAACTGGTCGGCTACGCGGACGCGGACGACGCTGGCGACAAGCAGAATCGCACTAGCACAAGTGGCTACGTTTTCATCTTCGGCGGCGCAGCTGTCTCCTGGACGAGCCAACGCATCAAGTGCGTGACTCTGTCCTCTACAGAGTCGGAGTACATCGCGGCCACCGAAGCAGGCAAGGAGGCCCGTCGACTTCGATTCCTCCTCGCCGAGTTCCAGCTCCTCGATGCTGGAACACCGACTACTCTGAACGTGGACAATCAGTCCGCCATCGCTGTCGCTGAAGGCTTGGGGCTCAAGGGCAACCTCAAGCACATGGAGCGGCGCTACGCTTGGCTGCAGCAGATGGTGAAGCGCAAGAAGATTGCGCTGGAATACATCCCGACATCCGAGCAGCCGGCGGACTTCCTCACGAAAGGGCTGCACTTTCCGGCCTTCAACCGGTGCTCTGTCGCGGTCGGCCAGGTTCGCCTTGCCGAAGTCGGCGACGACGACGACGTGCAGCAGTAGGTGCCATGTCCTCTAACATGGCTGGTGCGGTGATCGGCGTGCGGAGGTGTGCACGCCAGAGAAATGTCCCCTTGTATTTTATTAGCTAGGTTCTGGGTGGACCTTGTGTGTGGGTGCCCAAGCGTGAGCTGGGCAGGGGAGTGTGGGAGTAAAAGGCCCCGCCCTCGCTTGGGCGTAGGCATTCTCTGCGACGACGTGGTGAATTCGACGAAGTGATCGTCGCATTGGATCAGCCCGTTCTCTGAAACCGCGGGTGGTTTTCGAGGAAGGTTGTCCTCTGATTCACCAGCCCGTCAACGAGCTCTGGTCGACGGGGTGCTGTTCGACGAGCTCGTCTTCTGATCTGCTTCTGGGTCGCGCGATCTCTGACGGACGGGGTGCTGTCCGAGGAGCCGCGTTCTCTGATCGAAGGGCGCTG